AGTGAGTATCGCCGCGCGCAATGATAGAACGGGAAGGGATTTCAGACGTGCTTTCCTCTGGAGTGTGGAGTGTCCACACGCCACATTCCGCGTCACGGTTTACCTTTGCTTGGCAAAATTTCACGTTGAAAATTTGTACATGATCACATGCAGTTTCAAACGACTCGATAAATGACACTTTTTGCCCACTCACATACGATTTTTCCTTTGAAACTGATATACCACGGGCAATCACTTGCTAAATCATTTGAATACTTTATCAAGTGTATGGAACATGACGCTTTTTTTGCCATGCCGTTCTTTCGTGCATACTAACCGCTACATCCCAACACGCCACGATAAACCGCGCGAAATAACGCCTGTGTATGGCCAGCTATTGATGATTTTAAGGTTAGAGTGTTTTACAATTTTTTACTATGCTCGTTTAGACTAAAATAAGTAAGGAATCAAGTAAAAATAGTTAATTAAACTAGACATTCAGTGGGATATTACTTTTGAAATTAAATATTTTAATAATGCGTATTGAAAAAAAATAATGAATCATTTGAAACTCTGCTTTTCATACTAATATCGCAAAAATGCTAGTCATACTTAATATTATTTAATGTGTGAAATCTTCCAAATATAGGTAGTCCAATAACACCTTTATTTAAATGCCTTAAGTGTAGGCTGAGAATACTTTTATGCAAACTGTTGGTTTTTCTCGAAACTGTTGTCAAATAAATCCTCCCGATTTGACTTATTTTTTGGCGTCCCCGTGGAAGAAGATAATCTGTATGTAGATTGTGTGCATCTCGGGCAATGATTTAAAGGGCCTTAAAGAAGCAACGCGATACCTTGTCAGAAAGACAAATCGAAGTGGATTTGTTGAAAGGTGGTGTCGTCGCGATTTATTAAAATTAAAAGAGACAATAACTAATAAGTTAATAAGAAGACACCTTGGCAACGGACATGCAATTAATTTCTGGGATGTTTTAATATTTATTTTACCGGACACGGTGGTATGTGGTGTGTTTTGGGTCTTAAGTTACATAAAACGTTTTTTATGTAAAGAAGATATTTTGCTTATTTTTTTATTTGGCTTAAGGAATGCTTTAAAATTGATCGAGCGTTTTTCAAAGTCAAAATAGTAAAAGTAAAAGGTCAAGGTCAATATTAAGACCTAAGCACACTGTTCAAAATTTCATGACCATTTTAACACCAAATTAACACCATACATGGTCTATATCGATACAAACCAAAATGGTGTTAAATATGGTTCGTTGGTCCAGTGTAAATTCAAATACTAAAATGGTATAAATTTAACTTTCACACAGTATTAACATAAATTGACCTTCTTTTCAGTGTTAAATATAACTCCTTTTCAGTGTTAAATATAATGTGTTGTTGGTCAAATTAAATCACACTTACACAGAAAAAAAAGGAAAAAAAGGAAACAGGAAGTTCCTTGACGCATTACAAGTATATTACCAGTGGTATTATTCTAGAAAATTGAACCTTCAACTCGCTAGAGATAATTTTTTTAGTGCGTTCCACCAACTTAAAATACTTTAAATATTGACAGCTGTTTCCACCTATTTAAGGTCTCTTTAGTATCGAAAAACTTGTAGTGTCACACCAAAGCAAAGGACTACCTGAGCTTATATACTCTTCATGTAAGTCAACAGAGGAGAGATTTAAGAACATCACGTGATCCACACCGCCTTTGCCGCGATCGGTACACACTATGCAACAAGGAATGCACGGCAAATTGTTTTAATCGTTTTAACAGAGTGCTTTAGGTTGAAGTAACTCATATTTTACAAACAACATATTTAGTAAACTGAACCATACAGCGGGTTGGTTTCACTAAAGTTTTCTGGGATAATTTAACCAATTTAAAAAAAAAAATAACTATCTGGTTTAGTACCGTCAAACTAATCTTTGTTTATATTAACCTTCCCACAGTTGATTGAAATAAATACTTATGGGCAACTAAATTAATATAGTTAAATGAACTATTCCTTTTTTTCTGTGTAGGTGCATTTCTCAAATATTTTTAGATAAAGACCGTTTTGGTGTTTGCTGTATAAAACATTTTCAACCATAATTCATGGTGTTATATTAACACCACTTGGTGTTGGATTTTGACACCATTTTAAGATTACTCTTCACACCACATATATTTTAAACAGTGCACTGCACAGTTCCGCGCGCACGGTTTAAATCGTTCAGAGTTCCGAAAGAAAACAGTTGTTCTTAAATGTATGGTAATTGTATTCCGAAAAAATCGAGGTGTAAATTAATAATTACATATAAATGTAGAGTAATTGTTTACCAAAAAAGTATGCGTGTGCTGATATTTCACCGACAGTATAATTTGGGATAATTACAATGATTAGTGGAAAGCGATGCCGTGTGTATTTATAATTTTTTTTTCACACAAACAAATGACGAGGAGCACAATAATAAATCGGTGAAACTCGCCATTTAATTTTTCATTACTCAGAAGCGTCATGTTAGGATGAAAAGATTTCAATAAGTGTAATACATTAGAAGCGTCGAGGTAACACTTCGTACAATCAAAACATTATCATTGTCTATTTAACATTAAAAAAAAAACTTGATGAATAGGCCTTGTCCATGGCGATCGCTATGAAAGCTCCCGCTGAGTTGATTACTTCTTCAAGTTCAAATATGTCTAACATTATTTAAAAAGCAATGCACAGTCCTTTAAACTTCACACAAATAAAGTTTCATATTTAGTGAACACAAACAGTTTTGATTTCATTCCAATTTAAACGTCGTTTTCGAACGATTGTGAATGTGATGATTTCAAGGTACCTCAATCAGAGTGGTACGAAATATTTAGTGATAGTACACTGTTCAAAATCAAGCCTTTTGAAATACCTAATCAGAATTAGTTAAGGAAAAATAAGGTAATATGCTTAAACGAGTAAAGCAATTTACCTTCTCGTTTATTAGGCAGAAACTAATGCCTTAGTTCTATGGTGTATTCACTAACTTCTAGATAAATATTCATACTTTACTTTATAAACTTCTCAAATTTAAAAAGATAGGCAATTTACCTAAATATTTAGTCAAAATCTCAATTACTTTTAGGTACGACAATTTTGCTTTTAATTTAGGTAATTCTTCTAAATTATTATGGCAAATTATTGAACTAATTTAGGTAAATTCCTTTAAATATTGGTGACTTACTTGCAATCGGCTACGATCGCTAATACCGAGGTTTTACTATAATGCCAAAATCAACGAAAGCGTAAAGACCGCGTTGTGTGCTATTGATATAACAACATAGTTAACAATTATTGTGCTATAAGTGAACATTTTGTAGTGCTATAGTTAAATAATCCAAACCAAATGGAATTTCCCATTGACCCCAATTTGTTTTTAACCATGTAGTACCGGAACCGCCGTTGTTAATTCGCCTAGGACATAAAGATAAAGGAGTCCTAACGTGAAAGAAAATTCCTATGCCAAAAGAAACTTTATTAAACTTATAAAGTAGGTATACCTATAAGTATTATTAAAATTATAAATTAGCTAGGTATTATTAAAATAAACGTAATTCGTTTTTGTTACTTTTATTTTTTTTATTTAGACATATTTATTAATATACATTTTCAATTTAACTAAAATAAATGTATTTTTTATTTTACCCATCAGCACTTAAAAGGGGGATTTATAATGTCATTCTTTTCTCATTTACATTGCTCGATATAGAGTTAAACACTACTAGGTTATCGGTAACTTTTTACAATAATATTTAACATTTACAATAGTATATTTCCAAAATAGAATATTACCAAAGCAATGCGTGAGAATAAAAATGACATTATAAATATCTTCTCTCCTAAATGCCCCCACCGCCAATTCTTGTTTCCCTTATATTTTTGTCTAATGAAATTTCACTAGAAAATAAGTAGAATTTTACTAGAAAATTAGTAAAACTTCACTAGATAATAAAAAATTAGATAAATTTACCATTATAAATAAGAGGATTTTCACTAAAAATATATATGATTTGCCTGAAAACTTAGCTAAAATATACCTAAAAATTTAAGCAAATGGCTTTAGAAACAGAAAATTTATTCTTTTATTCTCAGGCAATATCCCTTACGATCTAAGGTGTATCATCTTTGAAACCTAAGTGATTTTGCTTAATTAATTGTATTATTTTCTTTAAAAATATCAGTTAAAGAATTCACTAATTTAAAAGGGGAATATTCCTCTGAATTCATTTCAAGCAGTTTGCCTTAAAAAATCAATGGTCCTATACAGTCTAATATTTTAGGTAAAAATTTGCTAAAATTTTGAAGAGTGTACTGTGAAGTGAAGTACTTTTCGCCAAGGGTGTTGGCATCTTCAGAAGCGAAGTGTATCGTTGAAGAAAAGCTTTAAGCACTTTGTGTTTTGTTTTGGTGTTGAGGAATATTTGCTTAACATTTCAGCAAAGTTGTCCTTTTTCAAGTAGGTATGTGTTATTTTTTTGTGTAGGAAATTGATTAATAAAGCAACATTTCTTATCAATTTTTTTTTATTTGTTCCTAATTTCCAACAAATACTTTTGTTAATGGACTGTTACAAGAATTATGGTTAAATTATTGATATAGGATTTGGTTCTTAAATCTACAAAATGTTTGTTATAATTACAACTATCGTTAAGTATACTTATTCAATTAGTTAACAGATTACAGTTGGTTGTAAACTTAACAAATATTTTTTTACTGTGTAAATGACCCACATAAATTAAGAAAAGGAAGAAGTTAGTCTATTCAAGATTAAAGGTACCATTAGCTTAGCTCACTAATTAGCTTAAATAAGACGGGGTGGTCAGTTTGATAACAAATTACAAATTTTTAATCAACCCATCATTGATAAGTTATCTTAAATTTAAATAAATTAAAATGTTATTTTAGTGAATTAGATAAAAAACTGCGGTATCTTTATATCCATTATAGATAAAAATCGCCTTAACTTGCAACATTTAATGGTACTTAATGCTTTGTACACCTAAACCATACAACTTCCACCAAAAAAACTATAAAACTGAAAGTATAGCAAGGAATAAGCATGTAAAATATAGGTCTCAAATCTAAAGACCTTTTGTCGTTATCCTTAATATTCTTCTGGTACTTGAGCCTACTTTTAAACATAGTGGACTTGTAGTAGTAATCTACAAAACCGCCTTGTTGGAAATAGTGAATCCCCTTGTCAAATTTTGCTAACATCGGATGGCCCTTGAAGAAAAACCAACTCGAAAATGGAGCCCACATTCTTTCTTTGGAAATGTAGATTGTGGGCCTTCCGGTTTTGTCGAAGTACTTTTGGATTTGGTAGTACTCGGCTTCGCCCCTAGATAGCAACCCGACGCAGTTGTTTTCTTCCTTGCAAAGGGCGCAGGAGTAATGCTTACATGGCTTGTAATTTTTCTGTACCTGGTAATAGATCGTGTCGTTTTTGGTAATGTATTCCAGGTAGTCTGGATTAAAATTCAGGACCAGATTGTTATCTATCACGTCCTTGGTAGTTTTTATTTGTGGCTCATAGACGGCTCTACTCAAATAAGTAATAAACAAGCCGGTTATAAAAGTTGATATTATTATCGAGTAGAAATTGATAGTGAGTATAACCAATCTTTGTGATGTAGTATTTGCGTTATATTTCGAGCTATGAATTGTAGAATTTAAAAAAGTGCTAATCCAAGACAAAATAGGTTTGGTTGAATGCTTTAATCTACCTATAAAAGCAAAAGCAAGGCATAATATAACCATATAGAATAATTGGGTAGCGTAGAGCTCTTTTGAAGACATATATGCAAATGATGTCCATATCGATATTTCTCTAGCCATTGGCAAAGTCCATACCAATTCAATAAAAGCTATATAGTGGGTGGCATCAAAATCTATACATTTCGTTTCCAACGAATAGAAGAAACCCAATCCAGTATCAGCTTTTTTATTCATTATATCTCCAAAACACTTTGTATAGTTATTGTGTCCCACTTTTTTACCCCAGGTTTTTGAACAGGATCCAGTTATTTCCAATTTTTTGTATTTTATGTAACTTTTAAGTTCCTTCATTAGAGTGAATTCGCTGCCATGTACATTATTGTTTGTAACATCATTGTTTATAACGTGTGGTCTAAATTCCAATGTGATGATTTTCAAGGTCGTGTTTCTCCAAAATTCAGGAACTTTGTTTGGAAATAATGCTTCTTTAGATACATCATCAAAACAATTTGTTATTTTAAGTATTTTAACTTTTTGGTGTAAATTTTCATATTTAAATGGAACATATGTGTGAACGTTAAAGTTTTTTGTATTTATGAGAACCACGTTATAAATGTAATAGTGAAACAAAGCATTAACTATTGATTTTAGGTTTACGCCATCCTGGAAAAATATTACGAAATATGATCTGGCTTCGAAGTAGTTTAGGAGTTGTATATCAATGATTAAGTCGGTAATATTTTCTATTTGTAAGTTGATTAGGTACATACCAAATCGTTTTTCAACATAAAAAGTACTTGGAAGAGTTTTTAAATCCAATTTATAGACTGGAAAAAATATTTTGAAATCTTCTTCAAAGTTTATTATTGCTACCTCTTGTACGTCGCGGAAATCATTAAAGAATATTTTGTTCACGCATTTTTTTAACTTGTCTTCATTATTAAGAGTTAATTTTGAACCAACTGATACAAAAATGATAAATAATAAAATAAGAAAATATTGTATAGGTATGAAATACATTTAATATTAAAAGGTAACTCAGCACTTAGTGGGTTAACTAATTTAATGACTGTATAAATAATATGAAATCGTCATTTATAAAAGTTTAAATGGTTTTAATTTACCTTTGAATATTACATTAATGCATTTAAGTAATCACCAGATGACGTCACAAACACTAACACATAATCCAAAAAGTACATGTTTCCATGACACTAAGTGATATTATATAAGCAATATTTAATCAATTTAGTTCGAAGATTAATTTGCAAACAAAAAGACCTCCTTCGTAAAGCTGTTATTCATAATGGATTTTTTAACAGTGGAAGAAAAAATACAAATGATTTTGATTTATGGAGAAGCAGGCCGGAATCTTGATGATGCTGTATATATGTATATGTATATCTACGCTCAGCGTTTTCCGGATAAAATTCGATCTCGTACTTCATTTCACCGTACAGTCAAGCAGTTTACTACAAACGGGAGTGTTCAACCGAAAAAAGAGTTCGTCGAACAACAGTCACGGGTGGAAATAATGAAATTAATTTATTATTTAGAGATTTGGGAATATCCCAGAGCAGTGTTAGCAGAATATTAAAACGAAATGCGAAAAAAAAAATTACAAACTAATTAATCAAATTTTTATAACAATGTACTATATACTATAAGAGGTTTATTCTGGGTCCTTTATTTATAAATGGAAAATTAAATTCGATCGCACCTACACATATACGAAAGTAATATCTTACTACCGATCGAACAATAAGAAAACACAAAGCCGAAAAGCTTTATTTATTTTTCTTTCAATGTGGACATACAATTCGCATTTTATGGCTCAACAATGAACTTATTATTAACAATGGTAGCAAAGCCGATACATATTGCTCTCCGGGCTGTGTAAGCGTGCTCAATATGCCCCCTGATGTTGGCCCGAAATTAAAAAAGAGATCGCAATCGTGCGCACAATGCATTTTAGCGGGGTACTTTATTCGATATACCGTGTGTAACGCTAAATACTGCGAGCGAGGCGGCACTTAACAAAGTGCTCATTGTAATATACTTAGTCTCCGAAAAGGGCTATTTGTTACCCGTGGTTATTTAAAGGGACTTACGTGCTTAACTGCATTTTGTTTCTCATACGCATAGTTTTATTTTTTATCCATCACTGCAGTACATGGACAAAATAAAACAGTAATATACAAAAGACTAATCCACTCAACACAGAAAAATTTGTTATTTGGTTTAATAATTGTATGAATTTGTTCAACAAATGCAAGCTCGCCCTAGGGTGGTAAAAAGGAAAATGAAACTAAATTATTAATTAAGATACCTATGTATTCAGCGACCAACACAAAAATTTTGTAATTTGATCACCAGGTTATAATTATTTATTGATCCCAGTCCCTGAACAATTTTGCGAATATCTACCTTCTTATTATATTATATATCGTCTTATATAGAAGCCATAACTTGAGTATTAGAAGATTATTGAAGATGTTTTAGTTGCAAATTGTGGTTAAAATTTAATTTACAGAACAAATAAAACTATAGGTTGTGGGATACTATTTATGGTAGCAGGTATTATTAAAATGATTTAATAAAATCCGGGGTGTTATACAGTAGTGGCAATTAAAATTTTACAATCGTGCGTTACATTGAAATATCGTAAGTGGGCGTAAATGCAACGATATTCCGGTAAACTCCGCGTGCCTCTATAAAAAGTTTTATGGACGCGCTAGATGCACTCACACTCACATTTATGAATAGTTTCTCTATGAAACTTTTACACAAACGTGTAAATAATTTAACGCCTTTAATTTTGTGGGAGGAAGGAACTTATATGAACACCTCCACTGACGTATTGTTTACACCCACGGATTTATTTTTTTTCAAAACCGTATTTTTCATTGTGTTTGAAGCGTGTTCACGAACAAAACCTATGGGCGGTAGTTGAAATACTATTAATCATTTCCGTTTCCCAATATTAGGAACCTAATTGTTCGACTATCGTCTAGAAGAAATATAATAATTTTTTACTTTCTTCATTTTAAATTTGAGGTTTTTAAAAAGCATTGTTAATACAAGCATATTATTAAACATTTATTAGAAATATTCCCAACACCAAAACAAAACACAAAGTGCTTAAAGTACATTTTTCTATAAATTTGCTACGTTATCTAAGATAGTTGGATTGGTTTTTCCAATTAGTTTATTTAAGTCAATTTTTATAATTTGTTGGAAACAGTAACATTTGCACAATATTGTCAAGAAAATAGTTGAAACCTGTTGTTAAAAATATTTCAAAAATAAATGTTACTCTTTCGTACAATTTTTTAAATAATTCGCATAAACTTTGAGTTAGAATATATATTTAACAATATTGGACAATTTATTCGGGAGTAAAGCATCACACCACCTAAGATAACCAATGAAATGATTTCCCGATTGAAATAAGACGTCGGCCGGTCACTCAAGTTGAGTGACTCAACTGCAATCTGCATCATCAGTTTGCAGTTTTAGTTAGTGTTAGGAAGTGTATCATTGTGAGGTTAGTACCACATTTCTGGTGAGTAATTATTGAATATTATTTTTCCGAATAGGTAGGTAGGTTTTTACAAAATTGTTCAGGGACTAGAATAAATCAATAATTATGATCTGGTGATCAAATGAGGATAAAAAGTGTTTCTATGTTTCTACTGTGCTACATTATTGATCAGAGTTTTATATTATGTTTATTTTATGTTTTCAGTTTATATTAACTTAATTCTATACTTACAAAATTTAATTTAATTAATTTAATATATAGACATTTGTACTATTATAAGTGGAGACGCACTTCATGTTGAATTATATCTTAATATTATTAGAATTAGCTATACAAATTTTATTTTTTAGTTTATAGTGTATGGTTTTTTAGGTTTATTTTATTTTGTCAGTGTCAGTTTATATTAAGTTTAGGTATTCTATTTTCCATATTTTTTGTAAAAGTCGCTGAATACACAGGTATCTAAATTAATAATTTAGTTTTATTTTCCTTTTTACCACTATCGCATCCCAAAAATTATTAAAATTTTTAAACAATTAAAACAAATCCAACAAATTTTTCTCTGTGTATTAATAATAGAAATAGAGCCCATTGATTTTATTCAAAATTGCGAATAGGATCTAGTGTGTCAGTGATAAGCAGGCAGCCACAGTTGACAGCTCTTCGTTCCGCTCTGAAAATCATAACTCAAAATCGCTTCGACCCGAGATTCGAATCCCAAGGCTTTAATCTATTTCGTAATAACGTGTCTATGTTTATTTAAATCGTTCGGAAAAATATTCCGATGCCATGGGCTACCAATAACTTAGAGAGACCGAGAGCTTATTTAAACTCGAGAGAAGAGTTCTATACTATATTTTAGCGCAAAACAAATTGGATGTCCGACACAAACCAACTTTTAAATCTGGATGCAGCGTTCAAACGGCAAAGCCATTCATCATACGGAAGATTGGTGCCTTGTTTCTTAAATAAGTTTCAAGTGGCGTAGTATGTAAGTACCTATATCATAATGCCTAAATTTAAAAAAACTTTAAAAATAAGGGGAATCTCACGAAGATGGTGTTACCCCGTAATATTTAATAAAACTAAATGAGTTTGACCTACACTTTTAGGCCCAGTTGTATAAAAGTCCGATTAACAACAGATTAATAAATCACCAAATTTTCGTATTTGTCATGTCATAATTTTCGTAATTGTCAAATTAACCATGTCCTCCTTAAATTAATATTAATAATTTTTGTTGTTTAGGAAGATTTTAGTAAGTATATTGGTATTTATTTATTTATTTATTGCATACAATTGTAAGTAGCTTTAATTACATTTCTTCTTGCAGGTGTGTTTTGTGTTTTTGGGTAAAGGTTTTTATATTTTGTACAAAATATACAAAAAAAATGGCTTTAGCATAGGCTTGTTGGTCAAAAATGAAAGATTGTGGTAATAGGGTCTCTAACTTTAGTGGAAAAAAATCTTGGCTATTGCTTTGAATAGGTAGTAAAAAATATAAAAACATTGTAGAATGCAAAATAAACGCGTCACCAAAAATCGTAAAGTTAATTCAATCATTTGCCTAAAAGAAAGCGCTTATTTTGTATTAGTTCTTAAATAAATTATGGCCGATATTTCTTTATTTCAAAAAGTTATAATATTTTTTGAATGACGAAATCTGTTTCTGTATTCTTCTATATTTAAATCTGTAAAATATTCAGGTCTAGCACGAAAGTTTCGGCTTTCTAGAAAAAATAACAATTTCTACTAATTATAAAAAAAATCTTCATTCATCATCCATTAAATGTTCTACCATTTTAATGCTCACCACAGATAAAAACTAACAAAAAAATAATGAAAATATTTAAACGTTGACATTTATAAGGTTATGTGTGTTCTAACCCGTCGTTAACCACACAAAATTCACCGATTTGTTAATTGTACGTTAATCAGTTAAACCTATCCTCCTTGACTGTTACTCTTTTTAGGTTAACCTATATGTTTTTAAATATCTGAGGTAGTAAAAGCATACTAAAAATATCAGTTCACTAAGTATACTTTATAAATTAGTATAATTTCATTTTCACTTGTTTTTAGCTAAACTAAAATCAATTTAAATATGTATGTTTGTAAAGTATAGCGTTATGCGTTTATACGAAGGAATTTACTGAGACATGGTATGCCTCAAGGAGGAAGTGATATTTAAAAAAAATAATGCATTTGACGCGAAAATGAAATG